ATCTCAATAACCCACATCAATCCTGCTCGGGCTGAGCTCGTTCCCAGCTGCTCCTGCAGATGATCCTGAATATCCTGAGCTGGAAGAGACCCACAAAACCCATGAAATCCAGCTCCATGATGCCCTCAAGGTGTTTATTACACCTTCTGATGGGGAAACACCACCACAAACCACAAAGCATCCTCACCAGAGCCCACCCGGGAATCCCCCTGTCCCGGCAATCCCCGTGTCCCGGGAATCCCTGCGGGAAAGACGCTCCTTGGGAGCTGAGAACATCCTGGTGGCCAGAGCATCTCCGTGAGGAAGGCGCCGGTGGCGTGACCGAGGGTTTCCCAAGCCCCGTTCCCGTTTTCGGCGGTCGGATGGGAGGCATTTCCTGCCCTTCCCCGGGGCCGAGGGGGGCCGGGAACCCGAGTTAATCGTTGACCGGGAGGCAGGAATGTCTTCGTCCAAGTGGAGCAGAAGTCTCGTTTTTGGGAGATGCCGTAAACTTCGGAGCAAAGGGGGGGGGGGGGGAAAATGTGATTCCTGCTGGGATGGGGGCAAAAAGCTGCTTTGTTTTGCTCGCCCTGGTTGTCTTTAGTTGGGAAACATCCAAAGGTCACCTCGGCCTCCACTCCACCACTCCGTGGTGGCAGCGTTGGGAAAACACTGGATGTGGCTTCCCAAACATCCCACGCCGGCAGCAGAGGGAAAGCCCCATCTCCCATCCCTCTGTGCCCATCCCCAGACCCGAAATGAGACAGGGTGGAGCCGCAATCCCCTCGTAAATCCAGGATGTGATCCCTGCCACCGGGGGCCTGGCCGGGTTCTTCCCCTTCCCCTCAGGGTTTTCTCTCTCTGAATTATCCCTGGAAGTGCCAGAGGTGCTTCCAGCCCCACCTTCCCTCGAGACCAACCCCTAAAGGGCAGCTTGGATCTCCCTGTGGCGGCAGCAGCAACCAGGCTGCTCTTCCCATCTTATCCTTTGGAAAAATACACCATGGGAAAGCACTATTTGCCTCGTTTTTCAGGGGGTTTTCCTCCTCCACTGCTCAGCCCAAGTGATTTCAGGGTGCAACGAGGTCCCTGAGGGATGTGGGGAGCACCTGATCCGGCACTGTTTGCCTGGCAGTGGGAAGCTCTGGGTGCTGGGAGCTGTAACCCCCCTCTGTGGGTCATGGGGTGATGCCCCCCTGTTCCTGAGGGGCTCTCAGCATGTTTTTGGGATCTCTTTGCCCAACAGCTGCAAGGAACTGAGAGACCCAAAATCCGGAGGGCAGCACTTCCCCTCTCACCGCTTGTGATAAGGAACTCTACCAAAAAAAAAACACCCCGAGGTTTCTGCCAGCTCGTACAGCTGGGGGGGATTTCCTGCTTTTTGGGGGGAATAGAAGCCCTCTGGAGCCCCCTCATCTGTGCTCTCCCCCCTCTCAGTGTCCCCCCACCAGAGCTGGGAGGGCAGGGCAGGGGCAGCCCCTCGACCACCATCCCAAGGATCAGGGGGAACGAAGGATTTTGAGGAGCCCCCGTTGCCTGTGGCCAGTTTGGGGTTTTGTCCTCGGATCCAACACGGCACCAGGAGCTTCTCCAGTCCCGCTCCAAGTCCTGCTCCAGCTGGTTCAAGTTCAGGGCTGCATCCAGCCCACGTTCCGTGGGGAAGTGACTCATGTTCATGTTCCCCTTCCTGGGTTTTTTAGAAGTTTAATCTCAGCATTTGCGAGGCGGCTTCTTCCCCTTGGTCTCGGCCATGGGGGGGCTCTGGGATGGCACCCACCACCCCCACCACGCTTCCCACCCATCCCCTGGAGATGGAGAGAAGGGAAAAAGGCTATTTACAGGGAATCATGGAATGGTTTGACTTGGAAGGGACATTAAAGCCCACCCAGTTCCACCCCCTGCCATGGGCCGGGACACCTTCCACTACCCCAGGTTGCTCCAAGCTTCATCCAGTCTGGCCTTGGACACTTCCACACCTTCCCAGGCTCAGCAGTGCATGCTCTGAGCTTTTCCTGAACTTCCCAGCAGCCTTTCCAGCCGCTGGATCTCTGTGTGATGCTTTAATCACCAGATCCCCCAATTTCTCTCCTGTTTGATGTGTGTGGAGAAGCGACAGCCCTGTGGCATCAGCTCCTGCTCTCCCTCATCCCATCTCAGGTGCTCTGAGCTCCAGGAGTCCCTGGGAACAGCAATCCCACGGTCTTCCCTGCTCTAGATCCCTGCCAGGTAGGTGGGATCTGTGCCGGGCTGAGGGACCCACAGAGGATGCACTAAGTGGAGAGGAGCCTTCAATCCCGCCGGGAAGAGGCGTTGGATAAACCTGACCTTCATAAACCTGACCTCCATAAACCTGACCTCCATAAACCTGACCTCCATAAACCTGACCTCCCGACGCCAAAGGATGTGCTGACGGCCCGGGAAGAGCCGGGAGGAAACGTGGGATGGAGCGGAGGCTGTGCAATCCCCTCTTGCAGGCTGGTGAGGACACGCTGGGACATTTCATCATCGCTCGGTCGGGAATCAAACCAGCTCCCAAAATCCCTGTTTTATGGCTTCAGCCGGACTGTAAATCTCCGACTTCCAGGGCTGGCGCCTTTCAGGGGGGAAAACATCCGGCTCCAGCAGCCTTTGGTGCTCCGGGAGCGGCGGGGCCGTGCGTCACTCCGGGATGGGGCTCGGGCCCACGGAGAGAGAATCCACTGCAAAAGCAGAACTTCGGGATTTCGGGGGTTGCCGGGTCTTGCTCAATGTGGTCGAAGGGGTCGGGGCCTCTTCCCCTGCCTGGACATGCCAAGGGCTCCGTTTCAGCTCTGGATGAGCACGTTTGGCACCATGTGGGTGGTGGAAGGGGTTGGTGGCCGGGCTGGCACCTGCTGGGGACACGGAGATGTCCAGGGTGGAGGGGGTGACGTGATGGTGATGGTTCTGCCCCAGGGTGGTAGCCAGAGGTTTGTGATCCTCCTGGGTGATACTCCCTCTCCCTTCCTCCTTGGAGTGAGGAGGATGAAGGATTGCAATCACCCCAGCTGACAAAATCCCTGGGAGAGGGATCACAGTGGGGTTGGTGCTCTGGGAACTCCCTAAGGATCCCCAGTGGGAAGATGCTCCAGGAGGGAGGTTCATCCCTGCCCAGCTGCTGGAGGGCTGGGTAATGCCCCACGCATGGCAGCAGCAGGATGGTGCCCAAATCCACACGGGATGAGGCCCTGGAGATAAACGAGGCTGCAACATTTCCCTGGGAGCCACACATGGGGTTTCACCCAAACTGGATGCCCTGGGAAGAGAAAAACTCCAGCTCCTCCTCACCCATCCCACTGCAAGGGTGGCTCCAGAGCCGGGCAGCAGAGCCAGAACCATCGTGTGGGCAATCCCCCCCACACGATGCTGGTCATCCTGACAAACTTCTCCTTTCCCGAGTTTTAGGGTGAAACGTTTGTTCTTGGCTTTGCCTCAGGCAACCCCTTGAGAAGCCGGGTGAGAAAAGCCCGAGGAGAAGCAGGGGGATAAACAGCCCTAAATCACGGGATTACTGCATGCACGTTCACCCCCTGGCAGGAGCACAGCTGAAGACCAGGCACTTGGATCAACTTCAGGGCGTTTGGGAACGGCCTCGCCTGCCCTGGGAGGACCTGCCCGTCCAACTCATCCCACCGGCGGTTCCTCGTCCCCCCGCTCGTGTTTTTTGGGTCCAAGCATCCCTGAGGAGAAGGCGGGAGGCGGGTGGTCCCGTGCCAACCTCCGTGGCTCGTTCCCCCCGTGGATTTTCTCCTCCCTAGCCCTGGTCTGGCACGGCCGCTGCCCGGCACACACGTGGCCCCGCCGGATTGGTGGCAGGCTCCGTCCTGCCTGGCTCCATTTGGGAGGATGATGATGATGTAACCCGGTGCCACAGTTGCTTCAGAAGGATCGGGACACGGGACATACCCACCCCTCTCGGCCACACCTGCACGGAGGAACCGGTGCCAGCAGCCGGTTTGGTGGGACAAGGTCCAGGGTTGATCCCACTCCTCCTGCGGGCGCGCACCCGGCACGAGCCCGGCAGCCCAGCTCCTCCTCCCCGCCCCATTCCCGCCTCGGTGGGATTTCGGGAAGGGGCTGCGTGCGCCTGGATCAGCCCCCTCATGTGATAACAGGCACCGGGGCGAGGCGACGGGCAGGGAAGGTGGCTGAGGATGCAGGGATGGACGAGCCGCGCCGGAATGCTGCGCAGCATCCCCTCTCCATCTCCCCCTGCCACCCGCTGGGGGAGGTGAGGGGGATTCCCCCAGCCACGGGATCCCGTGGGGGAAACGGGAAGCGGAAGATGGTGGGATAATTGTTGCTGAGAAATAGTATTCCAGACTTTCTTGTCTCTGCAGCTTCAAACCGGCTTGTAAATCGTCCGGGCTCCAGCACTGCCAGAACCTTTCGTGCAAAATCCCAGAGGAGAAATTCCTGCTGGGAGTTTACTCTGTCACCCACGGCAGGAGGGCGGGCAAAGTTCGGCTCCTATAAAGTCTGGTCTGGTCCAGTTCATTCATTCCCCTGGCAGCACGTCCAGCCTTTGCACGAGATTCGGGAGTAAAGGCTGCCCCGGGAGCTGCAGGATGCCGAGGAGCGCGATGCCCGGAGCGCTGAGGGATGTCTGGGCCACCCTCACCTGCCTCCAGCTCCTTCTGCCCCTCGCCGCCGTGGATTCCCTGCCCCTCACGTGGGACCAGGACAGGCTCCAGCTGGAAGCCGTCAAAAAGGGGATCCTGGAGCGGCTGGGAATGCCGGCTCCCCCCGTCATCCGGCACCAGCCGGACCAGGAGAGCATCCAGAGAGCGCAGCGGCTCTACCAGCAGAAAGTGGCAGAGCTGGCAGGGAACCGGAGCCGGGAAGAGGAGGAGGAGGAGGAATCCATGCCCAGGACCCGGCGTTTGCACCGCCTGACCCCCATCCGTAAGTGACTCCCTGTCATTCCACGACCCTCATCCCCCCGACACACGCGTGTGTCCCCGCGTGTCCCAGCGCGTCCCGCAGCCGGGCACTGTCGGGACATGACCGGGCATGCAGCACGGTGGCCACGGGCATCCTCGTCCCGCGGCTTCCTTTGCCCTGGAAGAGGGGAGGAGCCGCTGTTGGGGCTGTTTTGCTTAAAAACACCAAGAGCAGGGAATTTGGGATGGAAGCTTTT